TTGACACACAAGCAGATACCCCGGAGTACTAAAGTGAATAGGAGTTGCCGCGGCTAGACGCTCGCTGTGGATCAGAAGGACATGGGTTCGCTCCCTGGCCGAGCCTGACTTTTTTCAAAAATGACCTTGGCTCCCAGGTCGACCCAGCCTTGAGTGGGTACCAAGTGCAGTCCCAGGAAGTAAAGGCGGCCGGCGTGATGCTGACCACATCACCCCATCTTGTGCTGATTGGTCTATAGAAATATAGGTCATGCCCTATATGCCCTATACGCCTAAAGGTGTGGAAGAGGGTCCTTTACTTTTACTTTACTACTTACTAAAGGGAATCTTATCAGAACTATTTTTTGGCCAACGCTATGCTATCAGTGCCAATCGTGGACACTTAGATCCTCCAATGAACGTAAAATTGTGACAACAGAGATGAAATGCCTTAGAAGAGCTGCATGAGTTTCAAGGAAAGACAGAATACGAAATCACGAAATCAGACAAATGCTAGGAATAAAGCCAGTCTTACAGGTCATCAAAGAACAACAAATAAAGTGGTTTGGACACCTAACAGGAATGCCCTGGTACTATCAGCCACAGTGAGCCAAACTAAAACGTTACAATAGGTACAAAGCGAGTGGAAGTCCTCGGAAAAGATGGAGTGATGGCATTAAGAACAGCCTTACAGAAATGAACATCAGTCTTAACAGTGCTCTTGACAGAGCTCATCAACGAATATTACATCTCCCCCCTACACTTCGATGAGGTACAAGGTGGAAGAGAAGAAGAAGAGAAGAAAACAGAAAAGACTGAGTACAGATGGACAGACTCAAGAGCAAGAAAGTATTGCTGCGCCATGGTGTCCCCAAGAGAGTGTCCTGTCCCCAACACTGTTTCTGGTCTATATCAATGACCTAATTCCTAAAATACCCCATTGTATTAAAGCTGTCATGTATGCTGACGATTTGGTACTATGGTGCACAAATAAATGTGCAACAGTGGCCACTTGACTGCTACAGAAATCCATAGATGAAATTGTTGCATGGGTGGATAAATGGTGTGTCAGCATCAACACAGACAAGTGTAGCACCACTCTCTTCACCTTCTCCCCAAAACAAAAATCAGGCATCATTCAGATAAACAGAATACTACTAAGAGAGGATAAGGAGCCCACATACCTCGGAGTCACCTTTGATGATAGATTAACATGGAGAAAGCACATCAACAAGGCAGCAACTAAAGCCAGAAGGAAGATAGCTATCATAAGAAAACTAATTGGAACAACATGGGCAGCACTGACTGTTTAGAACTGAAGTTCTGTTAAGAACCAAGGCATCCCCACCCCCCCCACACAAATTGTTTTTAGAAACCGAATAGTCTTAACATAGAGTCGTTTCAGAAGCAACGTTTCACTGTATTTAAATACCGATAATCATAAATTGATAATTATTATTAATGTTATTGATACAAGATTTGAAGTTAGCAGATACTGCTTTACCAATTATTTCAGTAACAAACTAACGAGCTGTATCCAGTTATATGACCGCTGTTTACTGCCAGGGCCATTAAAATTCCATTTTGCTTATGATCTATAAATAGAAATAGAAGAAATAGAAAATGTAACAGATTTTGAATACTTGGGCTCTTTAGTGAACAACAGTGGCGACCGCTCAAACGAAGTCAGAAGAAGACTTGCATTAGCAATGCAAAGATTTAAGCATGAAGAACCTGTGGCAAAGCACTAGTTAATTGGTTAGAGTAAAAATTTTGAGATCATGCAAATTTCCCTGTGGCAACCTACCGTTGTGAGTTTTGGACTCTCAGTCAGTCACTGAGGAAAAAGATTGGAGCCTTTGAATTTAAATGTTTAGAAAAATTCTTAGAATACCATGGATCAAGAAGAGGAAAAATATCGACATTGTGAACGAGTTGAACATCAAGGAGAACTGGCTCATAAACAGCATCCTGTCCCAAAAGCTGAAGTATTTTGGCCACATCAAGCGTCATGGTGGCTTGAAAAAGATGGTGATGGAAGGTGCAGTTTGTGGAAGACGAGGCAGGGGTCTACTGCAAAAATGGGTACAAGACATTGAGGATGCATTGGCATTGAAAGCACATGGGGCCGGAGAGCTGGCTAGAACAATTGATACTTTTAGGCGTACAGTGAAGAAAGGACTTGCTGACTGATGATGACTTATCTACTTTGAGCCAATCCTGTTGTTTCTTCTTCAGCATTCGGAACCCTTGAGGTTCATTGCTGCAGATATCACCCACCTCAGTTGCAAGTTTTTATAGGTCTGTCTGGATATTATCTCTCCATAATTTTGCTTGGTCTGCCTTGTGGTCTGTACCATTTAGCTCCCTTGTGTATACAGTTTTTACCTCTCTGTCATCTGACATTGTCTCAATATGCCCAAGCCATTTCAGTCTATTAACTCTCATGATGCCAGTGATCAGTGGTAATAAGGATAATAAGGTTTCATCTCTTTTAGCTGTGCTCGAAGTTTCAGAGCCATATAAAACAAATGAATGCTGTTGTACGGATGTGAAAAATAAGTCTACAAATTACCAAGAAATTATACAAAAGATGCAGTAATGTGGTTTTATAGAAGAATTATAAGAACAAAACAGACAGATTTTTTAAAAAAAACATAATGCAAATGGCTGGAAAGAAATTAATTTATAAATGTAACTGATATATAGAGCAGTGGTACTAGCCACCATCCAGATAAAACAAAAGTTTGTTTAAGGCAGGTCCTAGTCTTGCTCTTGATCATCTTCCACTGATCAGATCAGAAAGAGGTGTCAACACATGTAACATGAGGAAAAACAAATAACTGTTACAGTAACCAAAACAAATTTCACTAGAGGAGGAAGCAGTCTGAAAAAAAAATATAAAGACAACAGTTTAATTACCATTGAAGCCATTGGCTCACTGACTGGCCATCTCTGACAGCCAAGACGTCACAGATAAAAAGCAAATTAATTTAAATTAAAGGACGATTTAAAAACAAATGAGGTTTGTGTCACTACTTCTGACAACGTATCAAACATAGGAAACATTTAACTAATAGAAGAAAGAAGCAAGTTATGGGTAGAATGCAGAAGTATTACGAGGGGATGTCAATAAGTAAGTTACAAATGGTTGTTGAAAAAAAATTAAAGATGATAGCAATTTGAAAACCATTTATTTTTACACACACACTGTCCCTTTTTTTTTTAACATAATTTCCACCAACACTGATGCATCTGTCCCCTTGTCCCATCATTTTATCAGTTCTCACAAACCTGCTGCACAGAACTGCATGCTCTGTTTTCTAAACCACATTTTCACTTCACATTCAACTTCTGCATCATTTGCGAAATGTCTTCCGCCAAGGTAGTTTTTCAGTGGACCAAAGAGGTGGAAATTGCTACGGGCTAAGTTGGGACTGTAGGCTTGATGTGCCAAAAGTTCCCACCCTAGATGGTTAATTTTTTGTTGAGTTAACCGAGCTGTATGTGGTCTGGTATTGTCATAAAAAAGCAGTACTCCTTTAGTCAGCAGGAATGGAAGTTTTCTTTGCATTGCCTCATGAAGTATCGATAGAACTTACAACATCAAATTATCACCTCTTTTTTGGAAATTGGTTAAAAGCACTCCTTGACAATCGCAAAACACTCTCAGCATAACCTTCCCTGCTGATGGCATAACCTTGAATTTCTGAACACATAAACAGGAATAATTTCCTTATGAATGTCCACTGCGGGCAGCCCAAAAAAACGCACAACAGCACACTGTTCTTTGAGGATACACTCCAGAAGTACAGTCACCATTCTGTTTCTGTGTTGAAAATGCGCATGAAACACTTAGCGCCACATAACGAATGCAGACATAAAGTTTGATGTTGCTTTCATCTAACAACACCTTTAGAGACCACAAACTACATTTTCCTGCCATCCCATCTGTGACTTACTTATTGACTTCCATTCATAGAGGATTCCATTTAAAGTCAATAAGATCTTTCTACTTACCTTCAAAATAAATATTTACTTATGATATAAACTCTCCTTCTTACAAGTAAAGATAAATTACATTTTTATTCATAATTTTTCACTCATTTTGTTTATTTTCTTATAGTCCATGCTGTATGGCATCTATCAACAATATTCTGTCTGATGTACTTTCTGTCAATTCTGACACAGATGATCTTCCATGCTATGAGGTCAGACTTTTTTTTTTTTTTTTTTGCATTTGAAAAATGTAATTGTCAACAGAAGTTCTAGTGTTTCTTGCTGGCCTCTTGTGCCTTGAGAACCCTGGCTACGATCTTCTGCTCCTCAATGAGGAAAGCACGAATGATTCGTTCTCTGACAGCTTTGTGGCACAGTGATCCTCCATATGCACGACTGACTGTCTTCTGGCGCTTGCTCAAAGCACTCAGCTTGTGGGGACGTACAGATCGCACCCCCCTGAGCTTGGTCTTGTAATCACCACATATTGGTGTCTTTGCAAGCTTTTTCTGGTACAAATAAACCAACTTTCCACCGGGAGTCTTAGAGACCTTGCGGCGGTTGAAATTTGTGTTGTATGAGAGGCGGCGTCTGAAAGTAAGTCGCTGAACCATCTTGATCGATGTTATTTCCAAAAAGCTCTCGGTCTCCCTCTGCCTTTTTTTCCCTCCAGCTTTCCCACCGTCACAATGTACTCCAGTTTTCTGCTTCTGATGACATGATCTAAGAATATAGATAGTCTTCTTGTTATGTAGGAAATCAGTCCTCTTCGTGAGTCAGTTTCTTTCAAGACATCATCATTACACTTTTTAACTGTTAACATTAGGAAATAAATGAATTTATTTTACATTAATTCTTATAGGGAAAACTTTTTCGTTATTAAAAAAATCAGTTTCCGAACAAATTTTAAGAACGAATGAAGTTCCAGAATCTATTTTCCACTGTAAATTTATCCATTAAACACAAGAACATTATAGAAATGAACATGAACAGAACAGCTACTCATAAAGCAAAATGCTTACCTCCATTTCTTTTGCTTGTTGCCATACACACTTCCACAATTTGTATTCCCAGCTCATAATAGAAATCCCCAACTCCTAAAACTTCAGCCCAGAAACCTCTGCTAGCTGGAGAAAAAAAAAAAAAATCCATCATATCATCTTCAGTACAATACAATCTATGTCACGAGTCCTCAACAGATAGATGCTTTTGTGATGAGTAGGAGTTTTAATCTCAAAACTTCACCTCCATTAGAGAAACTGGACTAATATCAGAGCTATGCTGATCTGGAAATCCAAGAAAACAGCCATATCTGGCTCGTCATGTAATTAACATTAAGTGCAGCTGCACTTGGTACCCACAGGAGAAGGAAAGGGGTTTCAGAGGTCCTGCTTCATGGTATTGAAGATGTTACAGTTCTTGTTCATCTGGACACTTGACTAAAGACACTTAGAGTTTCTCTGAGTTTTCTCTGATGCTGTCTTTTAATCTTGTCTTGGTATTTGCTTCATATAGTAGATGAACCTCTAACTGATCACACAAGCAAAATCTCAACATTATACACAAACACATCAGCAAGGATTTAAAAAAGATTATACCAGAACCAGACTTGTTTTAAGAATTTTATTTGTGGGCAAGTTTACCAATTCTGAATTGTAGATTTCATGTCTGCTTTTCCGTAGCAGAATATTCAGCCTAGTATGTTTCTTTTCTAACTGGCAGGAGGTGTTTATATTTACAACATGAGTAAGGGTCCTCTTAGTTTTTAGTTGTATTCTGAAGGACAATAATAACATCATGCCTAATTCAAGTAGATACAACTATCCTTAATAAGTAACTAAATGGGTATGATCATCCATACAGTTGGCAAGAAACTTAATGATGATAAGGGTAGTCCATCTACTTCTTCTTCATCGTTTGTCCGAGTGACATAATTGTTTTGTGCCTGGTTTCAGCACAGCCGCAATATTTGCGCCTTTCGGCCGACACATCCCACTTCATCAAACATTTGTTTTCCGGGTTAGCCTTCCTGGTTAGTTTTGTGAGACACAATTGGACATTTAACTGCCTCTTTTGGGTGATGACTTCATCATCCCCTGATTCACAGGTACTGTGACTAGAGGACCCATCCAAGACAGCTGTGTGCAGACTGGTCAGCCCTCAAGGGAAGACAGAGACAGAATATGGGCATTTCCCATTATCCAAGGAAATTTCCATAAATACTGAGCCAATACAAAGTGCTCTAGTACTGAGCTAACCCAAAGAATCATCATGTCCTGCAGATGATTGCTTAACCTCAAATCCATATATAGAGCTTCTTTTTCATCATGGGCTACGCCTTTCAGGGATCCCCAGGAAGCAGATGCAGATCCGAGACAGATGACTCACACAAAATGAGCATCTTGCTTCCTCAGCCTTTTGGGCTTCTCTTTTAGCTAATTGCATCTTTGAAGCGAATTGTTACCAGGCATTTAGCACTGCAGTATGTGGAAAACATGCATCAGGCGTGACCTTCGATAGTACAGGCCAGTACACAAAAGTGGTGACATCACTTCCTGAGGAGAACTCAAATTGGATGTTTCAGTGTGTATTCGGTTTTATTTTCTTGTCAGTTTTTAATGTGGTTTCATTTTCACGTCTGATTCACTTATAAGCGGTATTTCAGGGAGTAGATTTAGTAAGTTATTTCTGCAATTTGCTTTGGATTTATTGTCAGTGTGTTGGTTTTCGAGGAACTATGCTTGCTAAATGTTCTGTACCTGAGTGTCGTTCAAATTATGACCTTTCTAGTGGATATGTAAGTTGTTTCAGATTCCCTTCGAATTCTCTTTTAAGAGACTAATGGCTGAAACATATTCCATGGACAAATTGTAGTATGTGTGAACATTCTCGTACGTCAGATATTATTGCGTCTGATAAATATACAGACAAATCTGGAATCGAGCATATACTCCCAAGAAAGAATCCCGCTTTTAAAAAAAGATGCTTATCCAAGCATCTTTCCAGATCTTCCACCTTATTTATCGGTGAAAGTACCAGCCTCTCGCAAAACTCCAGAGAAACGTGTATCACATATTAATCGTAATTATGATCAAAAAGTAAATGATTGGCTGTCCTCAGATATCATTACAGATTTCCAAGATCTGGAGTCACAGATAGGAAAAAAACTGAAAGGACAGTTTGAAAAAAATGGAAATACATTTCTGTAGATGGAGCTTTAGCATGTATTGTTTTGTATATCATTACCATACAGTCAGACTCTGCACCATATGTGTCAGCATAAAGGTGTTACTTGATATGACTATACAAGTCTTTGTTCAAAAAAAAAAGTTAAAGACAAAGACCTTAAATGGATTGTAGACAACAATAAACTTGTCAGATGGTCACAGCTTGAAAATCTTGTAATTCATTACAATGCCTGGGATTATAGTAAAATTAAAAGCCAAAATAGCTTCACAGATTTAGTGGGAGAAGCAGGAAGTATTTTGAAGAGTGCTGCAGATCAACAGTGGACTCCAAATGGGACAGCTGAGGAAGTAACTGACACACAAGTAAATTTTCTGGCAGAGCAGCTGCAACTGCTAACCTGGTTAAAAAACAGAAGGTGTTACAGATGTAGCACATTATGTTTCGCTTTCATGCTGTTCAATAAATCTCCAGCATGCTACTGGTTTATAAGAAAATCTCGTATGTTGTGCCTGCCTCATCAAAAAACACTGCACAATTTAACTTCACAGTTGTCATTGTCTACTCATACTGGCATCATCTCACAGTACTTGAAATTGAAACAAGACAAACTGACAGAGCTAGAAAAGATTGTAGCGGTTCAGATGGATGAAATATATGTTAAATCTGCAATTACCTACTCTGGGGGCTAAATATTTGGCAATGCAGACAATGCAAAAGAAGCAGCAACAACAGTACAGGCTTTCCTCACATCTTCAGTTTTTGGGAGCTACCAGGAAATAATAGAACTTTTACCTGTGAACAGAATGACATCTCGGGATTTACATTTGAAATTACTCCACTGTATCCACTTTGTACAGGAGTGTGGTTTCACAGTAGCTGCTGTAACTGCAGATAATAGTGCCGTTAATCACAGAGTTTACACTTATCTCCTGAAACCAAGCCAAACTTTTTTTAAGAACCCAAATTTTGCTAATAAAAAATATTTTTACTGCATGATTCTGTGCACTTGCTAAAATGCATGTGGACGAACTGGATCAACCAGAAGGACACAGACCAGACATTTACTTATCCTTTAATAATTAGGCAAATGCTAAACGCCTGTGATACTGATAGAGCTGCAGAAGCTAACTTTTCTCATTTAAAGAAACTGTATTATATAGTGAGCAAAAGAATATTGCAAAACTGGCACCTAAACTTTCCCACAAAGCCATCTATCCCTCCAGCATAGACAGACAGAACGTTCCTCTTGCTTTGACAATTTTTAATGATTACAATGTTGCTGTTCTGCGTCTAGTGGGCAGTAATGAAACAGCAGATTTTATTGAGGCCATCCTTAGATGGTGGCATACTGTTTATGTGAATAGTAAATTTGTAGGTAAAAAGATACTGAACTCATTCTCAAATCCTATATTGTCAAATTATGATGAACAAGTGCATTATCTTGAACAGTTTGCTGAATGGCTAAGAAAGTGGGACAAGCTGACTGGCTGCCAAGGAAAACTGACCAAGGAAACACACAGTGCTCTGCTGCATACAGTGACCGCAGTGCTTTCTCTAATCAAATATCTATTTGCAACCACAGAAGCCAATTTTATACTTTTTGGAAAGCTGCAGATTGACAACTTAGAAGCTCGGTTTGGTGAATATCGGCAGTTGTCAGGAGCAAACTACCTAGTATCTGTTCAGCAAGTTTTAGAAGCAGAAAGGAAACTTAAAAGTTTTCTCACTGCTAAGTATGTCCTCATCAACTTATGGAGATTTTCCTATCCATGACCTTTCAGAGTTTCTTAGCAGCAATGAAGAGGAAAATGGGGATGACATAATTACTGATGCTGTTCAGCTGGACGTGAACAAGGTTGGTTTTTTTTTTCAAATAAACCGAAATGACTGTGAATTATTGGTTTCAGAAGGTTCAGAGGAGTCACTGGTGTACATTGCTTGATTTGTCTCAAGTAAGTTGAACAACAAAATTTGGTGTGCTACCTGCAAGACTTTACTGCAGATGGACAGGCCATTATCATATGACGTTGACTTGGGTGCAATGTCCACAGACTACATATAGCTGCTTGGCCGTGGAGGTTTGAAATATCCTTCAAAGTTTATAATTTTATTGACTTTTGTAGCATATGCAGCAATACAGAAGCTTATATCAGCTGAGTTGGAAACAAAATTTCTAGCCTGCAAACATCACAAAAAATTGCTTATGCATATTGTTTCATGCAGTTTACACACAAATTTCAATGATGAAATATGTAGAGTCTGTGCTGAGGGTTGTTCTAAAGTAAACATTGCTTCCAAAGTGCTGCCATCTCAGGCAAATGTTTTTATGAACAACTACAGAAAAATGAAAACCGATGCATTCTTGCTGAATAAATCATCTAAGAAAAGAAAACTGGCTAAATTCACTCAGTAATGGATTTACATGGATTATGTGACTACAATTTGGACAGCTACATGGTAAGTAGTTTCTGTTATGCTTTCTGTTTCTATGTCGTATTGTGAATATGTAAGTACTTTCTGTTGTGCTTTCTGTTTCTATGTCATATTGTGAATACCTATATCCAGGGCTGTTCAACTAAGTCAATTTAAGTTTACCCAGGGGCCAACATTGTGAAATTAGGGATCGTTATGGGCTAGCGGTCCAAGTCCCAGCGTAGAAAGACCATTATTTCATTACAACCAGCAGTTATCCGCTAGGCCTCAGCGGGTCAGATTTGGTCCACAGGCTGGCTGTTGAACAGCCATGAGCTTACTGCTATAAGTGGGGCTAGTACTCAGGGGACGGCCGGGAACACACCCAAAAAAAAAAAAAACAGGTACTGTCTGAGTGAAAAAGCAACATAACGTTAGCCACCGGCGGTGACGTCACATCCCGCTGATGACGTCAGCAGCTAGGCCTGTACTACCAACGGTCTCGCATCAGGCATGGTTTTCCCTTATTATCATAATACTCTGAAGAGTGGTAGTGGATATTTGAACTTTTCAAGTCAAGTAGGATCTCTGAATGAGAGACATCATAATCATAGCTTAATTTAGTAAGACATTCACTGGATGGACCTCTGAACCTAAACTGCATTTGGTAGGACTCAGATGACAGACATCTGAACCAAAGTTTGGAATTTAGTAGGAAACTCAGCAATGATAACAACTCATTTTCCAGATAAATTTACAATGAACGTTATCATCTATACATTGGGAGTAGGCTAATGACTGCCAGAGATATTTTGGACATACGACGCCACCAGCCTCGAGATGCTCCGCCAGCTCAGTTTTGGCCAATATATGCCACTATCTATTGTGCATAATATTGACATGCGGCAGGAATCTTGCACAAGGTTCCATAAAACCAGCACAGAGCCTACTGATACCAGAGGTGAGGTACGGAGTACCTTCTTATACATAGCACAATGGCCTTAACTTTCCCTCATGCCCATGGTGACTGAGGTCACCACATCACATTTGGTCTATCTAACACTGCACAATTTCCACAGTTTTAAAACACTTACATGCCAGTGGATCCACACCAACTGAGGAGCACATTTCCTGGAATTGAAGTCTGAACTCAGGATCTCTGCGTATGTCATCTCTGTGTTTCACCGCAAAATCTTCCAAATTATTTTTGAACATTTCCATTAAATGTTCCATCTAAAATACATAAACCAAAAATTTAATTTAATTTACATGAAGAACTGACAACATCGCACTAAGGACATTACCCTGAATGCTCTGTCTCCTTCCTCAGCAACCAACAGTTTCCATGCTAATAGTGCCATTTGCAATCTGATTAAGTCTGCTAGTTTTCCCCTCAGCGTTCAATTTCATTCAGAACTTCTGCTCACCCCCCTGTTGATCAGTCTTTTGAGGTAGGAACAGTCTATGTGTTTTGTTGCACTGTTCACTTGATCTCAGACAGCCTTCATCATATGCATTATCATAAAGTAGCTCACTGCCGTGAAAAACGGCAGCAGCTGATCTATCACCCTGCTTGTTAACCTGCACTCCCAGATGAAAATTCAAGAAATTTTCTTGATCTGAGTCTTATCAAGCCATGTAAGCCATTCTACACATAGGACACCAGTTTCAATTTTCTGAAGCACGCTCTGTAAGTCTGTTACAATTAATAGTTCTGGAACACTGTCATTACGGCCTCCACCTCCATTCTCATACTGATGTTGTGAAGTTCTATATGAGGCATGTTGTTGTTGCTGTTGTTATCAATCCAGCAGAGCAAGAGTTTTCACCCTCTGGCCCAATGCCATGTGGTGGAAATTACATGTTTTCACAAGCTGTTTTTTTCCTCCATACAAGGTGTTCCACTTGTCTGGTCTCGGAGGGAGTAGCATTCTTCTAGTCTCGCTGAGTTTTGGACACTCAAAGAGATGGTGGTCAGCAGTTTTATAGGGATAGTTACATAACTGGCACTCAAAGGAGAGTTGTGGCTGTATTGTTTATATGCCCACTGAGTGGAGTACCTTGTGTTCTGAGTCTGAAAATGGTGGCCTGGTCACTTCTTGTTAGATGGTTAATGCTGTCATTAGGATCAGGGCTAGCCATGCATCTATAGACCTCTCTTCCAGTATCTCCCATGGCTCATCTGTTCAGCCGGTCTCTTCGTTTATAACTCCTATAAGTGTTTTTGCTGTCTGTAGGGTTGTTACTGTAGGTGGTTGTTCTTGTGTTGCTCCTTTCTTTGCCAGTCTGTCAGCTCTGTCATTACCTGGTGTGCCAGAGTGGCCTGGAATCCACTGCATCACTGTTCTGTTGTATGAGGTAATGAGCTGATCAGCATCCAGAATTATCTTGGCTATGTCAGTTCTGCAGTGTTCACTGCCCTCCAGAGCTTGAAGAGCAGACACTGAATCGGTGAGGCATATGTGAGGCATAAATCCATAAAATGGATTTTTTAAATTCCACTGAAAGAAATGCAGAGTGCACAGAAGAAGGAAATTATAACTGTGTTTGGAGCAGAAGAGGGCAAAGAAATAAGTATGCATAACAAAAGCCTGAAAAAAAAAAGAAACAAAATGTAATACTAATTATTGCTTATTCAACACAAATACTGCTGGAATGGATCCTTAGCAGGCATGAACAGAGCATATGTGATAAATCAACTAATTCTTCCCAAACACTACATTATGTGTTACATGTTTTTCTCTGTGTGCATGAAGTGATGTAAGTTGAATGACTACATTCTATGCTTGCTCAGCCCATACTAAAAATAAAAAATTTTCCCATAACAACTTAGGATTTAATTATGTTCCTTCAAGACATGTGGTCGGGGATGGTTTGTTTAAAGGAGGTTGGGGGAGGGGGGGGGGGGGTATTTCTATGCTGGATGTAACTAAAAATATTTATATCATATCTAGTCGCTAGGTAGCATTTTGTCTCATTGTTCACTGTTAATTTAAAGATCATCTTCACTGCCCATCGGACATGACCATAACTGCTTCGATCTCCTCCTGGATATGTCTCCAAGTGATTCAGGCTAACAACTCCCATTCTGTTCTGGATGATGTAACGATGGGCGGTTTTCCTGTCTCGCTGCTCCAATTGGTAGACCCTAGGTATGCAGTCTATTCAGTGAAAAATAACTTTCCACAAAACTGAAAGCCTCACAGCATTCAGTCTCTCGAATGGCATTGACGATGTCTCTCCTGTCCATAGACGGTCCATTTCTGATAGTTACACTGTCAGGCAGGGTGTCGGCTCTCTCATTGCCTTTTACACCAGCATGACCTGAGACAAAAATGAAGGTGATTTTGTGAAACGCTGCATGCTGTAACACTTGGAGCTAATGATTCTGTATATGCCCCGCTTTGAACTTCTGTAGAATGATCATTGAGTCACTGAGCAAACATGCATTGGTGAACTCCTCTAAGAGTGAGATATGACATCTTAATGACTGCACTGAGGGAGAAGGAGGTCAATCCATGGCTGGTGAATTGGGTTGCAGCTGTCCTGTATTCACGTCGGGTTGCTCTCCGACTGGGCTCATGGACCTCTGAACCATGCACTTTGGCCCCAGGACTGCCACAGGGATCCGCCATCTCGCCTGTGCTCTTCAACGTGTATACGAGCAAGATTTTAAGCCTAGAAGCACCAGGAGTTGAAAAGATACTGACTTTTGCGGATGATATACTTGCATATAGGCAGGGGGAAGAGAGGGAACAAACAGCTCGGGAGCTACAAGCGACAGTAGATAAAGTGACTGAGTGGTGTACAGAAATGAAGGCTGTCATCCACCCGTAAAAGGTGTCTGTTTTTTGGTGCTTTCTGGACAACAGAATCGTTAAAACTAATGTCCCAAGTCTCACGATAGATGGTAGAGACGTCAACAGAGAGAGCAAACTGAAGTATCTGGGAATTACATTTGACAGGAGCCTGTCATTTAAGGACCATGTGGAGAGTGTTGTGACGAGATGCCAAAAAGGACTTAGTGCACTTAAGACTATGGCTCAGGCAGAAGACACAATCAGACAGGTTTGCATCCTTGAAAACATTAGGCGAGGAGAGGAGTGGGTCAAAGTGCCACCTGAGCAGTCAGACTTGTGTAGAGTCATAATCACGCTGAGCCGGGAATGCAGAGACTGGCCAGCAGGTGCCACAGAGGTGGAAATTCAGCAATTAATTCAAGATAATGCTCGCTCAGAGGATTTGATCATTTACACAGATGGTTCAGTGTCAAGAGGCAAAAGATATGCTTGGGGCTTTTTAGCAAAAGTTAATGGTCAACGTTTGGTGTAGGAGAGCCTAGCATATGATACCACAACATCCAGCTTAAGAATGGAGGTGGAGGCTGTCACTGCAGCTTTCCGCTGACTAGAGAACACGACACACACACACATTGTAATTGTAACTGATTCAGAAAGCATGCTGAGGAAGATTAGAACAGGTATGCTTCGTGCAGAGTGGCATGCTTCGCTGCGGAGGACACGAGTGAGGAGTATTGTCTGGATTTTTTCACCGGGTCACGCCGGTGTGTTGGGAAATGAACAGGCGGACAGACTCACTGGCTCTGCACAACTTGGTGGAATACTGCTACATGATAGGACAGACGTGGTTCATGCCTTGTGGGAGAGCGTGTACAATGTGGAGTAGCAGACAGATTACCACAGTCTGGTGAGATTGATGCAGTTGGGGGTGACGAGAGGTTCTGGCAGAAGCTCAAGGCTCAAAGGAAAGGCAAGACGGACATTTAATCAGAATGCTACTGGCACTATTAGTATTGGAACTCTTCGCTGGCTGCTGAAGATGGGGACGGAGCGCTTATGGGAATGCCCCGAGTGCTGTGATGTCAGTTCTTGAATCAAATCAAATCAAATCAAATCAATCATCACAACCATGACCTCTTGGCATGCTGCTGGTGTTAAAAACAAAGGTTCCACTGTCTTCTCAGGTGACTTTTCCTTTAGTTCTTACAGTGAAAGCTCATGCACTTCGCTTCTGATGAATCACAGAACCATTTTTTAATATAACAGCATCTACCGATGTGTGTTCCTCTACCAATGCTTTAACTTCTGCATCAACTATTGGTGGCACCAAATCACAGCACTGTCATGTCAGGATGATAACCACTAACAAAGTACTTCTTTTATTTGTTTGATATGTGTTTCCATTCCTCTCGACAGTTTCAACCCAGACCAAAATGCATATGAGAGTTTTACAGCAGAACATCTGGGAGAAAGGCAACGGAAAGACCAAGAGATTGATAAATGGTGTAGCTGAAACCTGCAAAAAAAAAGAAAAAGATTAACCAAACCCTCACTCAAGCCACCCGAAAAGAGCAAGACAAAACCATGAGAAAACCATGACACAAGGCTACAACCTGGTATCAGCGAGACTACAAAAAGAAGATGACCATTTTTCAATATATATAGAAATATATAAAGATATACAAAAGGTGTAATCATTAAACATGAACAGCGTGGAGCATTAAATGGAATATATTTCCGTGAGTCTAAAAAATATATGTATTGGATGAGTTATTTTTAACTAATATATTCACATCCTGACCTCATAAACATTTGCGCCTGCGTGAACACAGCCAAAAGCTTTAACTTTAAGTCTCGTCACCAGGTCACTACAGACAAGTCAGAAAAGTACCAGTATTCTTGACTGAGCTTCCAGAGAAGACGCATGCTTACTGCCTTTGTGCTGTATATCTGTCTATCTCTAGTGAATCACACATTCATACTAGAAGATCCTTTGAGTAAGAACATTATATTTTATGAGTGCCATATATGTAACCCCACTGCTGAGTGTAAGACAGAGGTGGCTATGTGAAGTAACACTACTGGGCCATCCAAACATTCTATCGATAGCTGGACACCTGTACTTTACATCCCTTTAAGAGTCGAGGTTATAATCTCCTGGGACTCAGGCTGGGAGATAAATGGGTCAGCAAATGCCTTATCGATCAGTTTAAAATGAGGTACAAATGGTAAACATATGGAAAAGTAGTGGCTGTGGATTTGTGTGTGTGACTTGTCAGTTTTATATATCTATATTCTTTTATTTGTGATATACTTGTGTGAGTATAGATATGCCAGTATCGAGGGGGAGAGGTGGTATCCTTCTATTGATTGACTTACGCGCTGTGGGAACATGTTCCCTGCTCACTTCTCAGCTGACGATAGCAACGTGAT